ACACACACACACACACTGTCAGGGAGGAGATTGAGAAGCAGAAAGCGAAGGAGCGCTACATGAAGATGCACTTGGCAGGGAAGACAGACCAGGCCAAAGCTGACCTCGCTCGCCTCGCCATCATCAGGAAACAGAGAGAAGAGGCAGCAAAAAAGAAAGATGAAGAGAAAAAAGGTAAGCAAAGCATTTAATAAGGTAATTATTACTATTACACAGTTATTACCTGATGTGGGTTATTACCCATGAAAGATTATTTTCATTATCTTAAAGAAACTGAACTGTTCTTTACAAAATTGGGCAGGACACCATGGACCGCTGACTTGTGTTATCTTGGTGTGTGTGTGGTTCAGTGTTGTCCTAATGAGCCTCACAGCAGCAGGAGTCGATTAATATCAAACATACTCATCTTAGCAGAGTAATGTTTGTACCTCTGTATCACTCCAGGAAACTTTCTTACTTGTTAAAACAGACATTGTCTTCATCATAACATCCTTTTCTCTTGTAACAGAAGAAGTGAAAACATTTTTGAAAGTATGAAAGTAAGCTAATCAGTGAAACAAGGTTACAGCATATTACAATGAAATCTGTATGACCTTTTCTTATCATTCGTATAACAACAAACAAACTCTCTAGACTGCAATACAAGAAAAGTTAGCATGTTTTCTACATGGATCACCAACTAGTGTGGACTTGGACATACTTTAGCCTCAGCCTTTTAGTACAATATCATGTATGTATCCCACAAAGTGCCTTTTTTATAACCATCTCAAAAAGCCAACATTAGCTTAATTAGCTGATAAAATCATCCAGTGACAGTTTTCAAGTAGTAAATTTAACCATGTCAAAGCTAGCAACCGTAACTAAGGGGGGCGAGGCTTAGCTGTCAGACAATCGTGGAGTGAAACCAGTAAATTGATATATCGGTTGGTTTATACAGTGGCGTTATTATTATTTTATTTTTCTTTATTCTTTATTCTTTATTTTCTCAGTGTTCATTTCTAGAATTTATTGTCAGTGTAGCCCATATGTGACGCTATTTAACATGGTATTTAAGTTAAATATTCTTTAATAAAGTTATTTGTCCTTTGTTGTACCTTTGCAGAGTCATATTTTCATTCCAGCTCAGAAATTCATTATATCAGCTGCCATAACAGTAATGGTTAATTTTCTCTCTAAGATCGGCATCGGTCTAAAAAACCCATATTGGTCGGGCTGTATAATCAGCCCTTCTACATGTAGAACTCCAACAGCAGCCACAGCCTCCGTACCGCCACTGTTGACTGTGTCTAACTGATGTCTGTCTTTTATTTTCTGTTCACAGCAAAAGACGCAGCGGCAGCAGCAGCCAGAGGAGTAAACTCCCTCTCACTGAAATGATGCAGAGTATTTATCAGAGGCACTTTCACATGTTCACGGACTGACGCAATATATATTTGACTATTTTTAAAGAAGGAGCTATGATATTGACATTACTGTAACATATGACCATTTGGAAAATGGTTGAGGAGACACCAGTGGAGAGGGGTTGTATATATTTTGGCATGGAGTAATGACCTCGTTGATCCCTCCAGGAAGTAAAGCTACATTTGAGAAAACAACGGTCTCCATGTACACTTGGAATGAACCTCTTCTAAACTATGATCTTGTACATGGTATTAATAATGGCAGACTTATCATTGTACACTTACAACTTTGCTAACTAAGCTTTGCCACTATGTTTTTTGGGGGATCTTACATTGTATATAACAGACTCTTATTTCAGATTAATATGATGAAACCAGTAAAATGTGTCAATTTCTTTTATTTGCTTTATTTCCCTGTGATAAAAGTGTCGCAACTGGATCAGAGCGACACCGGCCTCAGGTCCAAGAGTCCATGTTGGGTCCACTGATGAATTAAATGAGATGAGTCGATATATCGGCTGTTTATTTTGGAATAGAAGAAGTCGAATCTGGCAGAAGGATTTCGCTGCAGCATTAAGAGGGATTCAATTTATACAATAAATTATTCCAAAAAACCAAAGAGGACTACTGGAGATAAACCTGTTAATATGAAGATGATGATGAATGTCTTAGCGGAACATGAAGCAGAATTTGCTTTGTTTTATTTATTAGCCAGACGGGATTAAAGAGTAGGATTTAGTCTATGGGTCAGTATGTATAAAACTGCTCAGTGTGACATACTTTTGCTCTTATTCTTACGATTAAGGATAAAATGTTAATAACTGGTCTTCGCAAATTATTTAAGAGGTCTGTTAAATCAGTTAAAGGGGATCAGCAGCTACACAGTGTCTATATTTTGGAAATGTAGGATGATAAGTTATTAAAACACAGGTGTGTCCACACTCGCCATACAGCGTTAATATGTTCATGAGGACTGAACATTGATACAATGAAATGTTTATATTTCTGGTCTTTCCCAATGTTCACATTAACACATCCATATCAATGAAATGTGCAATATGTAATACATCAGCTGAGCTGTGAAGAGACAATAATAAAACAGAGAAATGACTAATTAAAGAAACTCTAAATGAACTTGCCAGTAAACCTTTTTATGTAAATGTTTTGACCTTTGAGTTCTCTATATTGGAAAAAGCATGATCAATTTACCATAATGATTTTGTATCACACACAAACACTTAACAGGACCTTCAGAGGTTGTTCTCACTTAAAATGGTTATTACAACCTTCTTTCACTATTATTATTAAATAAATATCAATATATTGAAGGTAGCAAGCGTTGAATACAAAGAATAAAGGTTAGTTTTAATGGAAATCCTACTTTTCATTAAACAATTCTTTACCATGCTTTATCACATGCTTTATTTTGATGAAAACAGCGCCCCCTGGTGTTTGGTAAAGGTTGCACATTGTGTCTGCAGTGATTTCAGTGCAGAGAAAGAGGCTCCACAGTCTGAGCAGACGGTGGCGGTACTGCACCTAAAAGGCTGCTTCACAAAACGAGAAGGAAGAATAACAAGGGAGAGGATTGGTGGAAAGTTTGGCGGACTTCATCCTCGTAGAGCAGCATTTCTTCTTGTTGAGTGCTCTGATATCAGTCGTACAAGTGACAGTGGCAGGACTGTGCAGCTGGTGAGTTAACTAACTTACTATTTCATGTTGTTAATGTGCAATGAAAGCTAATGTTTGTGTCGGCAGACATAATGAACTCCTGTAGAAGAACTAAACTAACTTTAAACCAACTTTTAAACGTATAACTTGGCACCGTTTGTCTGTCACATGTATGATAGCTCGTCTGTCAGCGTGTTACTGTCCTGTCAAAAGTAGCATGCTAGCGGACAACTCAGTCCTGTTTCAATGTGTTTATTCTGACGCCAGTGGCACATTTTGACGGCCCATCTCCCTCTGAAACGTTTGCACCGTGTTTTGCTGCTCACTTTGTGTGTCGATCAGAGATAATGGATGTCATGTGCTCGGCTAGCTGCTGAGAGGCATTTGAACAGATGTCCTGTCAGTCAGTGAGTGACCTGCTGACTGACAGGAGAGAGAGCGGCCTCAGATAAAGACAGTAAACACACAAACTGTAATCTTCATGCAGTTGTGAATGTGTAATCTGAGTTACCCAATAAACTGTGTTATGACAGATTTCTGCAGCTTATCAGCCTGTGTACTGGTTCAATGTTTAACTGATGACACCATGTCACACCACAGCCGAAGAGTTGCAACACTGCTTTTGTTTGAGGCTTGGGACTGAAATACTGGATCTGTCTGTGTTCATAAGACATCCACAATCTGCTCTTAATGCAACTTAATGCAGGTCTCACTTGGATATAATGTTTTTATTTCTATCTAGTCTCTAAATAAATAATCATCCTCCTCTTCAGATTTCCACTTTGTGTGACCACACAAGCAGCGACCATGTCTTTAAGGAACGGCCACACTGTGAGCAAAGAAACCTGGGATTCGCACAACAAGATGATGCTGGAGCCTCTGTCCGTCAGTGACTCTGAGGTTTGTGTTCACTGGATTTTACAGATATGAGGTTTTGTCTGGAGCCGCTCTGGAGACTGGATCAGTGGGATATTTCTGATTATTTATATATGCATGAGGTTGGTGTTGATGTTGCATTTCTTTCACTAACTTGTTGTTATTGACCCCTGAATAATACAGTATTGGTGTCTATTTGTGTTTTAGGTCTTTACCATCATAAAAAAAGAGAAGCACAGGCAGACGTACGGTCTGGAGCTCATAGCGTCGGAGAACTTTGCCAGCCGAGCTGTTCTGGAGGCTCTGGGATCCTGTATGAACAACAAATACTCTGAGGGATATCCCGGTCAGAGGTACGAGAATTAGTTTGTCTATGAAATCCCAATGTTTGAATACATCCTACGAGCAACTACATAAAATTAAGAGATAATTATGGCAATGATAATCTATGACCCCTGTGTTCAGGTACTACGGTGGTACGGAACATGTTGATGAGCTTGAGAGACTCTGTCAGAAGAGGGCGCTGGAAGCCTATGGTCTGGACTCAGACAAATGGGGTGTCAATGTGCAGCCGTACTCAGGTATCAGTAGTGATTTCTTTAACATCTAAAGGTTAATGTTTTCAATGTAGAGCCTGATTGATGTGATCAGTATTTTGACTCTTCTTGCATACTCCTTGCTTTTTCCATTTGCTCTCATCATGCTGTCCTCCTCACAACTTCTTCCTCGTTCTTCTGTCTGACTCATACTTTTGTTTATGTTTCTCTGTAAGGTTCCCCTGCTAACTTTGCTGTCTACACGGCCATCGTTGAGCCCCATGGTAGGATCATGGGGCTGGACCTTCCCGACGGAGGTCACCTGACGCACGGCTTTATGACTGAGAAGAAGAAAATCTCTGCAACATCCATCTTCTTTGAGTCCATGCCGTATAAGGTAGAAAACAATCACTTGCCTTTTTATTTCTTAAGTATAAATGAAACCAGGAGTTTGTCTTCTAGAATAATCAATTATAATTACTGGTATATTATATTATATTATATAATATAATACTTATAGCTAATTCTAAATTAAAAAGTGGCTTTCTGAAACACATTTTAAGTTTGGAATTGCTACTTCTCCATTTTGGAGTCCTGGAGTAAGTTAAACATTAATCCTCATTATTGCAAGTATGTGCATGTGACTTGGCCACTTCTCATGAGAGCTGGCAGAGAAAACAAAAAGCCCATCATTTTGTAGAATTTGAGCAGCAGCGTTGTGCACTAGCTGACGCTGAGCGCTGAGGAGTTCACACGGTGTTAAACGAGTAGATGATATAGCTAGTGGATAGATACAGTAGATGAGTAAGACAGATTTAATAGACAGTATGCATCCAAAGTCTCTAAAGTATTTGGTGGTTTAAAATACATTTGGAAAAATGGTATACGAAATAATCTTATATTAGTTCAAAGTGCAAACAAAATGTGGGACAAATGCCAAATCTAAGAGAATGAACATGTTTTTATTCATAGTAATTTCAGTTTTTTTAGTTAAAATAAAATAATTGTATTTACTGCTGTGTTGTGCTTATGTTCTGTTTTGGTTTATTTGATATGAACCTTGTCTTCTTTTTTTAGGTGAATCCAGAAACGGGCTACATTGACTATGACAGACTGCAAGAAAACGCTAAGCTGTTCCACCCAAAACTCATCATTGCAGGTCCTTAAGCACAAACACTTGTTTACTTTCACACATTAAAACAAAGATTGTATATTCAAAGAACCTAGAAAAACACCACATTCACCTGTACGTCTTTCTTCTCCAGGAACAAGCTGCTATTCCCGCAACATTGACTACGCCCGCATGAAGCAGATTGCTAATGAGAACGGTGCGTATCTGATGGGAGACATGGCTCACATCAGTGGATTGGTGGCTGCCGAAGTGGTGCCCTCACCCTTTGAGTACTGTGACATTGTTTCCACGACAACTCACAAGACGCTGCGTGGCTGCCGTGCTGGACTCATCTTCTACAGGAAAGGTAAGAATGGACGTTTCTGCCTAAACAAACCACTTTTTGTCTACATCGGTTGTCTGTGGGCTCTCAAGCTTTCCATTTGTCTTCCCTCGTTCTGTTTCCCTCCTCCAGGTGTGCGGAGTGTGGATGCCAAGGGGAAGGAGACGCTGTACAACTTGGAGTCTTTGATCAATCAGGCTGTGTTTCCTGGACTGCAGGGAGGACCACACAACCACGCGATTGCAGGTACAACCCGTCATCATTTTTCTCCCTTTGTCCTCTCAGTTTCATTCAATTGTCAGCATCTGTCTCATTTAGGGCGTGTTTTTTTTAACTGGCAGGTGTTGCTGTAGCTCTCAAACAAGCCATGACACCAGAGTTCAAGGCTTACCAGACGCAGGTTTTGGCTAACTGCAAAGCTCTGTCCAGTGCCCTTATTGACCACGACTACAAGATTGTCACTGGTAAGTGCCACCACCTATCTTTTAGTATCAGTTGTCATTGTACAGCTAATTGCATTTACTGCAGAAAAAATCTGACTAAACCTGCCTTTCTTTCCCCCTTAATTTAAGGCATTTGGAGATATTATTATCAGTGATTAATGTACATTGAATTAAAATAGCATTTCAACTCTATATTTTCTCTAATGGGCCCAGGTCAGGCTGATTGTGTTAGCACTATAATAATAATCCAAATGTCCTTTTGAGATATTTAGATAACTTTCCTCATTACTTTGCAACATGTTCTTTATAATTATGAGAAAGATCTTTGGTTTTCTTATAATTAAAAGATGCTATCATAATAAAACAAAAAAATATTTTCTTTCTTTAAAGAATACAGTTTCTTTACGTAAATGTAAACGTTTATGTAAACCTCACATTAACTTTAACATCCATTTGTCCCGGTTTAATCTCTTTTCATGTAGTTTCAGATGACAACAGTTAAAACCATATATATTTTTTAATAAAGAGTGATGCCATACCATGCCCGATGATGAGAAGGGGTTGTGATAACAGATTTCTGATAAATGTTAATAGCTTCATAGTCTTTATAGAGTCTTCTAATCCTCTTTTTCTCTTCCTGTGTAGGCGGCTCTGACAACCATCTGATCCTGCTGGACCTGCGCAACAAAGGAACTGATGGAGGACGAGCTGAGAAGGTCCTGGAAGCCTGTGCCATTGCTTGTAATAAGAACACCTGTCCAGGTAGAGTGTGTGTGTGTGTGTTTTAGCACTGGTATACAATGATACAGTTGCATGTATCATTGCATACCAGTGTATCATTTGCACACAGGTGTAGCCCCTAGCGTGTGTAATCTTGTGGCAGAGGTAGTCTATCCTTTGTCTCTGTGAGTCATTCTTGTGAACATCTTGTTTCCCTGCAGAATGTCAGTCTTAATGTTTCCACATACATGTGTTTGTATTAGGGGATAAGAGTGCTTTGCGTCCTAGCGGTCTGAGGTTTGGCTCTCCAGCTCTCACCTCCAGAGGCTTGGTGGAGGATGACTTCAAGAAGGTGGCTGACTTTATTCACAGAGGTAATCCATTTAAAAATTATTAAAGCAAAAATTGTCAATATGTTTGAACTCAGGTGACCAGACCACTGAAGTACAAGGTGTAAGGTACTCCCAGCTGACTGATGTTAACACCCTCTAAAACCACAAATGATCACTTTTACACATTTGTGCAGGTTAAACAAATATAACTATGAGACAAAATTACAAAAACAAAGACATTACACATAAATGAAATTGAAAGCCCTCCCTGTTCTTCTCCTGCTGCAGGTATTGTGCTGACCTTGGAGGTGCAGAGAAGTCTGGATCCCAAGGCCACTCTGAAGGAGTTCATTCAGGCACTGGCTCAGGGAGAGAAGTTCCAGCAGCGAGTAGCAGAAATCAAGGCAGAGGTTGAGGCTTTTGCCGGTCAATTTCCCATGCCTGGGCTACCTGAACTGTAGAGGGCGCCACCTGAGACACTGACGGCTTCTGGACGGATGAAACGTCATTATACCAATTTTGGTGGTGTTTCGTGTGTATATTTGTTTTAAGTGTACACATCTCTCACTGCTCAAATCCAGATACATCCTCGTGATTTCACAAAAGTTTTGAATTGGAAAAGATTTGCCTTAATGGGAAGATAGATCTGCTCCAGTGCCTTTGCTGTTTTTTGAATGTAGCTTTGGTCATCGAATGTTACAATCACATCTAAGCTTTAATATCGTCAGAAATGGTCATTTCTTTTGTATCAAATTTAGAATCCAAAGTTACTGTACTGCAGATTAAAACACAAACCATGACTGTTTCATATGTGAGAACACTGGATAATAAAACATGATGAATGAAACAGCTGCTGTGTATGAGCTTTCTGTTTGCTGCACAGTCCTTTTTAAAAACATGATTAGCTAGTTATCCTTCCATTTCATTGCCCCAAAATCAATATCAAGATTTACATGAACAATGTTTACTGACAGCTGCAGCCTGCAGTAGTGAGCTGAACAGTGGATGGGATGTGGGAGGATTGCTTATATGAAGTATTAGTAAGTCCAGAGGGGCAGTGTGGGGGTTTGTGTGTTACATTGGCATCCTGTGGTGTTCAGAGGATGAAGAACTACACTCAGTCTTATACGATATATTCAGTACATTAATTAGGAGCAGTGAACAGTGACATTGGATCTACTGAGTGTGTCCTACATCAGGAAAGACTCCCTGCAACCAATCAGATCCAGTATTCAGCAGACCCTGGTATAAATGTCACAGTGGACAGTGTAGTGAGACTGACAATCCTGGTGGAAACAAATTAAATAAGTTTTCAGTAAACATTTTACGTTAAGTATAATTTTTACGACTTGCCAGGAGCGGTAATTATTATTAATGAACATTTCCTAATGTTAATGGTAAATTGGTTCAGTATTACGTTTCTATTAAAACGACTGTTGCTAATTAATTTTATATAAACGTTATATTATATGTTTATAACCTGTGATTTATCTCTAAAAAGCCAAGTTACATTTTTATTTTCCAGTTATTTAATATCCCCCCAACCATTATGATATACGGGTTTAATCTGTATTAAAGCCACTCGGTGCGGGTGAAGCTCTCGGGGATCGATCGGTCTCGTCTTACTCAGTCGGGTCAGAGGTCAGTCTGCGCGCCTCCGATCCATCCAACATCAGCAGTTCGTGATCAAACTAAAAGTTACACACCGACTAAAGCTGAGGGATCTCCTTCACGACGGAGCAGTGAAGCGACAAACAACAAAGACTCTTGTGGTTTCTCTTCGGGGAGCTCGCTGATCGCCCGCTAGCTCATCGGTTAGCCTCGTTAGCCTCGTTTAGCTGGCTGATGAAGAAATCGGCTACTAGCTCGCTAACTAGCTCCACTTCAAGCTAGCCGACCGAAACTGTGACATTTCTTTCTTCCACCGGAGCAAACTAACGCAGACATGCAGGACCTGCTGGCCAACGTGGATCACATCAAGTTTGATCTGGAGATCGCTGTGCAGCAGCAGCTCGGAGCTCAGCCTCTGCCCTTCCCCGGCATGGACAGTAAGTGCTGGGAGGTTAGCTGCTACTTAGCCGCTGTTGGTGAACTGTAAAGTTATTATTATACTATTATTATATTGTTATTGCCTCTACGTGCCCTCGATCTCTCTCCACTAAGGTTGTAATCGTGTGTTTTCCCTGCAGAATCCGGATCTGCTGTGTGTGAGTTCTTCATGAGGGCAGCTTGTGTGAAAGGTAAAAACATGACCACATTTCAACAGCAGGGTCTGTCCCACTCTGTTGTGCTGCACATGTCAGGGTTATTTACAGGAGTTTAATGTCACACATCGTTATATGCTGTTTATCAGTAGATTGAGAAGTTGTTGTTTTTTTTAAAGGGATAATGCAGCAATTTAGTATTTCACTTCCATAACGTTTGAGGACTCATAAGAAGAGATATATTTTAAAAAAAGTCTCTAATATGAGTCAAGCTTCAAAGACACTGGATGCTACATTTCCCACAGTGCAGCCAATATCATCCTTTGATGAGATCCTCACTGCCAGGTAGACACACATCCAATCCACTTTATTTATATAGCACGATTTTAGCAAAACACAAGTTCCAAAGTGCTGCACAGAGGGATAAAACGACAATAAATAAATAACACAATAAAAGCACAATAAAAGATGAAGTAGGACAATAGAATAATAAATAAATAGAATAAAATAAATAAATAGAATAAAATACAATAGAATAAAATAAATAAAATAAAATAGAATAAAAATAAATAAAATGCACTGCCCGCACAAAATAAAATAAGCATGTATACACATAAAATCAACACTCTACGTGGTGTCAAAAGCCAAAGAGTGCAGCGGCAGGTCGTTCCAAAGCTGCAACGGAAAACGCTCGATCCCCTCTGAGCTTAAGCCTAGCTTTAGGCACTGTCAGGAGCAGCAGCTCAGAGAGACACACAGTCAGTCAGACATGTCAGTGGTCACAAACCTTTTCCAAGCAAAGATAACTTAAAGTATTCAAATTCAATGAATAAAAGCCTGCAGTAAGGCAGGGTGAAGCTGTATATGGGGGAAAAAGGAGTTTCTGGTCAATAGTATTTTTTTCATGGGTTTGAGATACTCACACTGTGTCACAGTCAACAATCTATGTTTGTCAGTGTCTTTCATCGGGACGACAGAATAATCTGTTTTTACCCTGATTATTATTCTCACAATAATAAGAGCTATCTGTGTAGCACCTTTTCATCCAAAGATGCAGCCCAAAGTGCTTTAGAAAACAGGGTTAAAAACAATGTTTGACCAGAAGCAAAAATTATAGATTATTAACAATATGATGATATATTAAAAACAATACAAATAAAACCCACAGGAAAAAGACATTAATAGCTAACATAAAAATTTAAGGTGGTGACACAGTTACCCCAAAATAAAAACTAGAAAACTAAACCAAGGTATAGCGAACAATAGGGGGTTTGTGTTAACCTCGGTGCATTACCTGTCACTGCTTCACAATAAAAACCTCTATGTGATTAGTGTTAAGATTTTACTGTTTAACGAGAGCAGCTGTAAGTGTCAAATTAGCAGTAACTTAAGACATCATATGATGTACAGCCCCGATACAGCTGTAGAATATAATTCTGATCAGTGAAAATAAATTGATTACCCTTCAAGACAAATGCATCATGATCACAACTGAGCTGTCGGTGACCTGTGGCTTCGGTCTTTAAAACTCCTTACCCCGATTACAAGAACAGTAAGATTTTCAAATCCAAGTACAGAAAAATAGAAAATACTGAATTCTGTTTGTTTGAGTGACAGACTATTTATGAAGAAAAGAAAAGCAATCAGCAAGACACTGACTTCCCAGTGGGAATGAATTAGGAAAGTTGTGCCTTTGTTTGTGGTTTATCGTTTTTTGTGTCCACTTCCAGGTGGGATGTGTCCGTTCCGTCACATCAGTGGAGAGAAGACGGTGGTGTGTAAGCACTGGCTCAGAGGACTGTGTAAGAAGGGAGACCAGTGCGAGTTTCTCCATGAATACGACATGACCAAGATGCCTGAATGCTACTTCTACTCCAAGTTTGGTTTGTGGACTCGATGTTTCATAAAATCACACAGACGAGATCAACGACTGTAGTCTCCTTGTGACCTTTGATCAGCATCCAGAGTATTTTCTGTTAATATTTTGTTTGACCGTGTTTTAATTTGTGTTGCCTCTCACAGGTGAGTGTAGCAACAAAGAATGTCCATTCCTGCACATTGATCCAGAGTCCAAGATCAAAGACTGTCCCTGGTATGACCGAGGCTTCTGCAAACACGGTAGGTCCTGCTCCGTGGTGGACGTAAACATTCCAGCTGTAATGATATTAACACTCAAACATACTGTTTAAACACAGTCTTCCCCTACTGGTCTGGATTTCTTCGTCAGCAGCAAAACAGCCTCTTCTTTTTTTGTTGCGGATCTTCATCCAACTTCTTTTGTCTTCCTGTCTCAGGTCCTGACTGCAGACATAGACACACGAGAAGGGTGATCTGTGTGAATTACCTGGTGGGCTTCTGTCCGGAAGGAAAATCCTGTAAATTTATGCAGTACGTTACCCTTTTTATTGGATTCCTACATAATAGAGTTTTAGGTTTTCTAATTATGGATGGGTCTCTCTCTGCCTTATTTATGGGATGAATTGTGTTATCTAGTAAAATATAAATAAATTACAAATAATTGGAGACTTCAGCTTAAAGTGATTTAACGGTGAGATTTTCTTCCACAGCCCTCGTTTTGAATTGCCTATGGGAGCTTCTGAACAGCCTCCTCTACCACAGCAAACCCAGAACCAGACAAAGGTAAGGGGACACACATCTGTATGTATACGTAACGAGCCGCTGTGTGTTGATTCATCTCATTCATTCGGGTATTACAATGTCTGGTGGAAATTAAACTATAAACAATTTCTCTTTGCTTGTTTCCTGCTGCAGCCGGTGCCCACCATCGGTCGCTCCTCTCTCTCTCTAATCCAGCTAACCAACTCCAGTCCAGGCCAGCGGCCGCAGAACCACATGCCCATGATGTCTTCTCAGCAAAATAACATGACCGGCAACAGAGGGCCTCGGCCACTGGACCAGGTCACCTGCTACAAGGTGAGTCATCTAAACATTAGTCTGCTAATGTGTTCAAAATCAATTTTTGACACCAGTCTCTCTCAGTAGTCTCAGATGTGAAGGCTGCCTTTAGTTCCCTTAAAGCAGTAGTTTGATATTGTGGTTATTTACTGTACAGACATTAAAGTGGTCTTGATTTTCTCATCTAACTCAATAAAACAACCAAGCCAGTTTCATCATATTAACAAAAGAAAATCATCTGCTTAAATGTAATTTGGTAAAAAAAAATGGCACATTTTGAGGCACTCAAATATGAGTTTTACTAGTTGTTCATGTACTAGTACACGAAACTCCATCTTTTTTGTGCCATTTCCAGCTTTTTTTTAAGTTTGTTTTTTGCTTTTAAGAAGGAGCCATTAACATCTTCATTCTGTTGTCTTCCCTGTGTTTGTAGTGTGGTGAGAAGGGCCATTATGCCAACAAGTGCACTAAAGGCCATCTTGCCTTCCTGAGTGGACAGTAACCTTCAGCCCTGAGGTCCCCATGGTGCTGTAGCTTAGTCCCCCCTGATGTGAGCGGAGGAAGAGGAGGAGGAGGAGGAGGAGGAGCAGCAGCAGCAGCAGAGAGGAAGCCCCTTTGCTCTACAGGCTGAAGTTGAACTTAAAGACTTTAACTGCCAGTGTTGTGTCCATGTGTGCGCGTGTGTCACTTCAGGGTGAATTTATACAGACACAGGCAGTAGGAAACAGAAACAAACCTACTATTTTTTGCCACCGTGGATACATAAAAAATAACAAGGAACCGTAAAAAAGGTGACTGCGGTTGAATGACTGCAGTGTTTTCTACAATGTTTGTACTGTATAGCACACTGAATATTTAAATTTACACGTCACATCTAGGGTCCAACAGAGGCGCAGTGCTGTAACATGTTGCAGCTTCTTACAGGTGTATTCTTGTTTCCTCAGGTCATGTGACTGCATCAGTGACACCAGACCAGTGCTTCTTTTCTGCTAATCCTAGTGAATCTTCAATAAAAAACAAATGTGATAAATGCCAGTAGGAATGTAAATTTGCAATAATATGCTGTTTGTACTTAAACTACTGTTTTTAATCAGAGCCAAAAACCACCTGTGATTGTTTGTATTGTACTCACAACACCAGTTAAAATCTGGCCTGCCACACACACACAATATGGCATTAGTCAAATTTTAGACTGTTACTATACATTTGTGTGTTTTTGCAAACAATTTAAATCCTGGAAGTAGTTCATGTACCAGTTGTGTAGGTGGAGGTCCTGTGTTGTTGGATCTGAATACACAGATTCAGATTTTGTGTGGCGGTACAGCAGTTTGCCTCAGTTCATAAAGAAGATTTAAATTTCATAAATCTTCATAAATTTCATTGTTGTGTGGACAGTCAGTGGATACAGTCTGAACATATTCTCTCTGTATAAATAAATGTTCTTCTTACAGATTTAACTGTTATACTTACATTAATGCCACTACAACAGTGAGTTAGCCCCAGTTTATAAAGATTTACCATGTAGGACAGCGACACTCAACACACAATATTCATCAATAAATCTTAATTTTTATTGGTCACGACAGACAATATTCGACACAGAGAGCTGAGAGTAGAAAGAGTAGGGGGAACAAAGATATTCAAGTTCAACCCCTGAAGGTCTGATGACTGCTGAAGGGCCTTAGTGATACTTCCTCCAGCGATCATGTTCTGGAAGAGAAGATAGAAAAACAGATGGTTAAATTAAATACAAGTTTTTCACATCAGTGCGTTTATAATAGCTAGTTTAAGGCACACTGGACTTCCAAAATAAAATGCCAGTCGTCACATTTACTGTCAGAAAAACAACTTTATAGTAAAAGTTAGAACATCCTACACAGGAAGTAAGTGTGTATGCATTTCTTACTGATGTGGTCGAATCCCCACACGTAGCTGAGGACCACGTAGCCAGCCAGAACCATAGCTACACCACCGATGCCTCCCTTCTTCACATTAATGTACTTGTTGTAGTATGCGTCGTGGCCTGGAAGAGAGGGAGGGGGAAAATAGTATGACGACATGTTACATACGGTCATTTAAAAAACTAATAAATAAAAATGAGTAATCTTCACCTGAATACAAATGTGAGTGAACATGTTGAAAGGGGAAAGTAAATATTTTTTTCTGCCCTTTGTCAACTACTAATGAGGCTGTATTCACAGAGTATATTATCACCTAAAAGCTATTCACAAATCTTCGTTCCATGAGGAGGTTTTTCTACACATAGCTCCAGTGGTGGTAATGAAATCAGCTTTATTTACTGTAGTTGGTGATTATTTAATGTACACTTAATGAACTGAAGAATAATTCAGGTTCAATAATTGTTCGGCTGGTAGACTTTAGAGTCATCTGGATGTCCCTCAACTTCTCTCAGACTTACAAGCTAGTTTTGGTGCTGAAATGCTTTGTGAATTACTGTTTGACCAAAAACGTGTGAGTGCTAAAGTTAGGCATGACACAGCCCTTATTTTTAGCAGTTTCTCCCAACTCAGCCAGGTGGGAACTACCATTAGGTTTTCTTGTGAATACAGCCTCTGATCTGATCACTGAAGTGGCTGCAGGGATTATTATGTGTATCATGTTAAAAGAATAAAAGCACAGCATGATGTTCATTCCCTGAATATTCAACCAAAAAAAAATGTATTTAAAACTGCACTCCTTTTTGTCACTGAACCAAAATCAGAACAGAGTTCCTCCCTTGGTAGACTTTTTAGATCCACAACAAAGTTTTAGTCAGTCGGGTTTCCTCACCCCTGCGGATGGACGAGATGATGCCATTGGGGGTGAAGTCTCGACTTCCAAGCCAGCTTCCCAGCTCAGCCAGTTTCACGTCCCTCAGTCGCTTTTCAGCTATGGAAACTGGTCACAGATGGAGACAGCAATGACAGTTTGACTACATACATGCCACAACTTTAAAAGTTGCCCATAGTGAGCAAACAGTAAAAATAAAAATAAAAAGTGGGCCAGAGCTAAAGGATTAGTCAATTGACAGAAAATGAACATAAATCTAAACAAGTCTGATAATCAGTTATTGTAAAACATTTCCAGGTTGCAACTTCTCATATTTGTGGCTTTAACTCGTCTTATGTTATTGAAGATCTCCGTCTTTTAAACAGGCCATGTGAAGGTGTCACCTTGGACTCTGTGGGTTTGTGCTGCATTGTTCAATATTTTCTCTCTATAAACTATTATTATAAAAAGGTAATCGACAGACTGAATATAATCATAAGTTTAAGGTACATTTTGCACAGTAGCAGAAGTTCATCCTCTGAATAAGTGTCCAGTCTATAAATCCATACAGGTGAAATTGCAGTAGCTGATATTTACGCTCATTTATACTAATCGACCTATGTTCCGCCTCTGGAGACAAACTTTACACTGTGGTACACTTTGACATTTACTAGCCAACATTGGGTGTGTAGCTACATTACAACAGATATGAATGAAGTATTCTCGGCCCACCGTTTAAAACACACTGTGAATCAAAGCACGGCCCTTCAGGTGTTAGTTTCTTTACCATTAATCTGTTTCAGGATTAAAATTAACCTGATAATATGAATGTTTGCAGGCTACCGTGCAGGCCAGCTACAAGAAAAACACTTAAATAACACACAAACACCAGTTATTTATAATTCCTACGTCAAAACTAAAGTCTCTGATAACTTAACGTGAAAGTTAAAATGCACAAAAGATTAGTTTTAACTGTAAAAGTGACAATGACACGCAAAGTCCTTGACGTGATGTCGGGGTTGAGTGCGGCCTTCAGTCGGACAGAAACCTCTCAGTGACCCGCTAACGGTCGGTCGGACACAGAAACACACACTGTTTGTCAACAAGGGAGCATTTACCAACAATAAATCAACAAATAGAGACAAATGAGTGGGTTTCTTTAGCAGAGGACACGATGTTTTACCTGCTCTGTCCGCCATCTTGACTGGTGCAGAGAGCTCGCAGCAAGGAATGATGGGAACACAAACCGAGGAGGTGCATTATGGGGGAAGGTGTAGTTTTTTCATCTTTCCCCTAGAGGGCAGCAACATCATTGAAAAAGAAACACGTCTAATGATTGGACCAAAAGGCTTCATGGTCAGAGCTCTACACACAGAACAACGACAGTGTGGAGCAACAATTAACGAGGTGTATTTAAGCCTTCAGACATGTTTTAATCCTCCATCGACCTTCTCGTTAACAACATCAACTCTGTTCACTCAGTGGAGACAAAGACTTTCACTCCTGCTGTGAAAAATGGGATTGTTCTAATCATATTGATTTTTTGTCTGAATCCCTTCCATGCATTATGGACTGTACGTTTGCCTTCTCTTTCTCCCTTCCTCAGTTCAGTTTAACTCTATCAAACTAAATTCAATTCAATGCAATAGCGACGTTTACATGTACATGTACAAAACAACATAACGTACATAAATAGGAGGTGGAGAAGTGTGGTTATACTATTATATATATACTGTAAATGAAAGCGTCTGTCCTGCAATAAACCTTCATAGTTCAGTTTTGATGAAACCTAAAAATGGGTGGCTAAAATAATAATAATAAAAAGCTGAAATGAGCTATTTTCATAATTTTATTAACTAGATCGATTAAATAACTGTTGATTGCATCCCTTGATGATGATTGAATATTGAGAAGTTGATGTAGGCTTTTGTTTACACATCTTTGTATTTTGTATTTCTGTGTGTACAGAAATCAATTGATAATACATATAGATAGATACAAATGCACGTATCCATTGATAAATGATCAACATTACAATGTAATATGTATAAATATGTAAGTATCTAAATATATTCTGCTTCCTCTGTGTGTTTTTTGTACCACCCCATGTTAAACCTCTCTCTACTTCAAAAAACAAAAACAGCAGGACCTGAAGGGTTCACTGCTCTGGTGTCTCCTGACAGTCTATCAGAGGAATAATTTTTTCAGGAGAAAACAGCCAATCAATGAGCAACACAACAGCCAGTAGCGCTGCCGTACATAATGTACCTGAAGATATAGTTAAGATCTCGTTCAGGCTGCGTGAGCGTTGTTGTGTGTGAGTGGTAGTTCAAGTCCCTTCTCAACACACCCACCGATCAATACACTCCTCTCTATCTCATCTCTCTATCTCTCTCTCTCTCCTCACACACAACACAACACACACACGACACCTACACAGAGTGAATTAGGGGGTGTAGTAGTGGTTTTGGCTGTCGTCCAATACTGAGCAGCAACCTCTTTCCTTTATTAGACTGATTTTCCTGCTTCACTCTAATGACTTTCATTAGGTGGAGGACTCATATAGATGTCCAACACCCACCCTGCCTTTTCCCTCTTTTTTTCTCTGCTTCTCTCCCTCACTCACAAAACACACACACACAAACACACACACACACACACACACACACACACACACTACACACTAGTTGGTTCTGCTGCCATGCAACATAAACTGCATGTATTGTACCATAACTGTAAAAATAATAACCAAATAAGAGAGATGTTGAATAGAAATGGATGAATCTTTAGATTTACCGGGTTTAGTCTTTGATGTTGATAATTCTGCTCTCTTTCTTGCATGTCTGACTTAACTGACACCAAATAGCCCAATCAGAGCCTCCAACTCACCCAACTGCCTTTAAAAGACTTCCAATTCATAATTTATATCTTGAGAATGTGTTTTTCCATCCAACAGTAGAATGTGGTAATATTAGACACAAAGCTTTGTCACAACTGCACCTGCATTTAGACAACATACCTTTGTGGGGCTGGTGAGGAGTTTGGCTCCTCAGAGTCTCCCTGATTTGTTCTGTGGCTGAATATGAGCACAAGAAGAATAATAAATCGGCCCTCTACTCTTTTTATTTGTAGGCTATTGAGGTTGACCTGAAATTACAGCTACTTCATCAGCAGGAAGTCTGTTGGATTATGTTACATTAAACAGGAATAGTCATTACTCATATGAATAGATGAAAGATTTTATTTGAAAAGCTTTTATTACAGAGCTGTGACTGAATATTATTTAAAGAAAAGACTTTCAGCCTAGAGCTAATGAACAGAAATTACATTTGGTATGGTTGGTCATCAGGTCAATCCAACTCAGTTTCCCGTTATGCTCCTCTTCTTCTCTCTCTTCTTATAAACCTGCTTTAATTGATTTGTTTTTTGGCCACTTGCAGCAGAAACAAGCCAACACTGATATATTATAACCTTTTAAGATGTTAAGTGAACAATGAGTTTATGGCCACATGACCGCTGTAAGCCCAGTGTTCACTCTCTTCTAGCTCTGTTTTATGTCTCTACCAACTCTTTAGCTGCTTAATGCTCCACTTTGTTAACCAGCTGGATGCTAATTTTGTATGTGAACAGTTTTGCACTGAGCAAGTAGTGAGCAGGTTGGGATTAGTGCTTCATGCTAATCCCATGCAGGATTCTTGCATGCGGTATAACCTTGTTATTGTCGCCAAGTGTATTTAAATGCTTCTGCATTCTGGCTTCCATAAACAGTATTGGATTGATAAGTGCAGCTTTAAAGTTGTGGCAGACTGAACACAAAGCGTACCTGTCAATCTCTGTTCTCAATTGAATAGCCTATAAATGTCCAAATGGCACCAAGAAGAAGCCCGAACAATCACAATCCACACACTGAAATAAAAAGTACCTCAATTGGACAGAAAACATCCCAGTCTATCAACACTTCCCCCCTCCTCTCTTCATGAAGGTCACACTCAGTCGCACACACTTGGTTGAACCAACATCTCACGTCTGTCTCATTTGCACACAGTGCGGGCCAAAACCTCTAATCCAATCTCACTGTGTGCCGCTGAGAAGCCAACACACACCCCCAGAGGTGGCAGATTCCCAGATGCACACATTGAACACCTACACACACACACACACACAAACATACAGAGACGTGAACACACAATGACAGACTGACACGCTCAGCAACCATGCAGGGATAAGACAGGCACATAAATATAAGCACACATACATGCACACAAATTTCATTGGGCTGTAAAGGTTAGAAACAACGCTGTAACATAATCTCATTTAGGGAATAACCCATAAGCAGAAATGATCCCGTGGTCCAGGTTCACCTGCTTGTTTATTGGTTTTGTTTGTTTGTTATGGAGCTGCCTAGGGCCTCAGTGCACTTCAGAGTCTGTACCAGCCACACACACACACACAAAGAGACACACAGACAAAAGCACTAGGGGACGGATGATTTTATTCCACCTCAAGAGGCAGGTGCCCTCGAGGTCTGCCACAGAGACAGCTCTTTGAAGCTGATGGAGGGAGATAGAGAGAGAGAGAGAGAGAGAGAGAGAGAGAGAGAATAAGAGATGGGCGAGGGGAAGGAGGGGGCTAGAGTAGGAGTTGGTTTGTACGAGGGGGGAGGATAGACAGACAGAGAGAGTAGACAGGGATGAAAGAGGATGGGGGAAGCAAAGACATGAAGACTGCAAGTACAAAAGGGGAAATTGGCAGCAGAAAGAAAATGATGGAGGGAGATGAAGGATAAAGGAGAGAAAATAGGAGGGGACTGAGCCAATGTCTCTGCACACAGCTCTCTAATACACATGACCTTTAAACAGCCTCTCTCCACAGTCACTCCCTGTATCATCCATCCTTCATGCACCACACTTTTTTCCATTACATTTTTTAGGGTTCCCCCTCCTGTGTTTTCTTTATAATCGACACTTTTTTCTCTGCCCTTGTCAGCGATTTCTCGTTTCCCCCCATCTGCAACTGTCTCACACTTCTTGTTTCCTCACTTTCCTCTTTCCCACATTGATTTCTCTCCTCTCTATTTCTGCTCTTTGGCCCTCTCTTCTTTTTCCCTCTTAATTTGCTCGTTGTTATGAATGTCATCTCCTCCTCCTCCTCCTCCTCCTCCTCCTCTCAGTGACCTGAATGTTTCTTTTTCCTCTTCTCTGTCCTGGCCGAGAGCTCACAGGTGGACAGACGGACAGAATCAGACAAACAGACAGGCAGGAAGACAGGACTGGAGGGATGGGTTGTGGGTAATGGGTTTATCAACTTTCCTATTACTACAATAATCTCATTAGAGATATGGAGATCACCAGGGGAGCTGCTAAAAGGAGCTTGCTGGCCTGATGAAGGTCTCAGAGGAAATGTGTGTGCATGTGTGTGTGATAGAGAGAGAGACATGGAGAAATATAGTGTGAGAGAGAGATACTAGAAATGCTCCACAGGGACCATTTCATTCCTCAGCGATAATGGTTTTAGCCACTCAATCAAACTTTTCCCATTTTCCCATTCCCATTCACATTCACTCACACACTTAAATATAATGGCCACTAATGGCATGTTGACTAATCGAAGCTCCACTTCTGCTGAATACGAAACAGGACAATGAACAGACTTGCAGTGTACCTCAAAGTTTGCTTAAATTTGGAAAAGGAATTAGTGCTTGAATTAATATTTGTAAAATAGATCAAGGCTGAATTTAGAGTGTTAACAAATTAATTTGATGGAATCATCAAATCAAATGAATTGCAATGGTTGATTATTGCATGTTGGTTTCTTACAACACCCAGTTGAATCCCTAACCACAACAAATTGTACCTCATTTGAAAGAACAAAGCCTCTTAATTCTATTAGAGTAAACCATTTTACTGTTTTGTTAAACTTTATCAAGAACAAGTAACAATTTCCTTTCTACTTTTAAAGGAATAGTTTATAATTATCATAGTTAGGTTTAGTAAGTTTTTAGAGATTTACACTGAAAACAGCTGCAGAAAATGATGTGAGAGACAAAACATTAAAGTTGTGAGCTGGAAAACCAAAAGAACGAACTGAAAGACACTAAAAGGCTCTGTAGAGTTGTGGGGAACTTATCACTATGAGCTTTCACACAAAGTTATTTGGCTATTATTATAGAAATATTGATTATAGCTGCTTTATTGTATATTTTATATTATTGTTTACAAGAATCACGGATGACGAGTCAAAA